CCTTTCTGTAGCTTAGGCTTAAAGGGACACTCCAGGCACCCAGACCACTTCTGCCCATTGGAGTGGTCTGGGTGCCAACTCCCACTATCCTTAACCCTGCAACTGTAAATATGGCGGGGGAGGAGCGTGGGTGGACCCTAAACCAGTGCCGAGGGACATCGGCGCTGGTCTCAGATAAGTCACTGAAGGGGTTCTTACCCCTTCAGCAACATGGGGTGGAGGGTGGGAGGGAGAGGGGATCTGCAGTGCCAGGAAAACGATTTGTTTTCCTGGCGCTGGAGTGTACCTTTAAAGGACAACTCGTTTTCCTGGCTCTATAGGGTCTTCGGGTCCCCCCCACCCTCTGAGTCCCACTCCCGCCGGGCTGAAGGGGGAGGAAGGGGTTAAATTCTTACCTTTCTCCAGTGCCAAGCTCCCTCGGCACTGGGGACTCTCCTCCCTCTTCCAAAGTCATCTAAGAGCCGCGCGCATTCAATCAGCCAATAGGAAAGCATTTCTCAATGCTTTCCTATGGACGCCAGCATCTTCTCACTGTGAAAATCACAGTGAGAAGCGCGGAAATGCCTCTAGCGGCTGTCAATGAGACAGCCACTAGAGGCTGGATTAACCCATATGTAAACATAGCAGTTTCTCTGAAACTGCTATGTCTACAGCTGCAGGGTTAACCCTAGATGGACCTGGCACCCAGATCACTTCATTGAGCTGAAGTGGTCTGGGTGCCTATAGTGGTCCTTTAAACTTCTGCAGAGATTGGCTGCTCAGAGACTACTTAGGGCTGACTGACATTTGAAATTCACTTTGGATTTCTGACAATTCACACTTTATTGGGGGGGAGGTATTGAAAGCTTTGCAGATGTTTTGGCATGTTAGCTCAAGAGAGTTAAAGTGGCACTGTCATGCCGAACGTACTTTTCCCCAATCGGTTCCTCTTCTCTCCCTCTCTCAGGATCTGTTTACTAGACATGCCCCTACTCACGGTATAGCGAGTAGGGGCAGTGTGAAGAAAACAGACTTTTACTTACTATTTTCTCCCTTTGTTATTCTGTACTTTTTTCTTTGGACTTATATATTGAATGGATTAGTTTGGTAGTTTCAAACTACCGAACACAGACCACCCTCCTGGATCATTGACTTCAAAGACAACTAGCTATTAAGTGCTCCCTGGGCGGCCGCTGTTCGTATAACCGAACGCCACGTGGAAAAGAAAACGGCGGCCATCTTGTTCGCACGAGGAGAGCCAGCGGGACTTGGTCGTTGAGTGTCTGGAACTAAAATCGGACACTCGACCTCACGAACTGCCACTGGAAACTACCGAACACCGGCTTCTCATACTTCCCGAACAGCCAGGAGAGCCTCATTCGGTAGTTCTGTGCGGACCAGGGGAACAATCGCTACTATGAACCAGGAGAATCCATTCGGGACTTTTATTTGTTTTTTTTCGTTTTTGTGAATTGACCGACCGCACACGCTGAATTTGTGGAACTGTTTTGGGCAGGAGCCGCGTGTGTGGTCGGTAAAAGGGACCCTCCACACTTTTTCAGAACTCCTGAACCGATCTGGATGAAATTTGGATATGTTTGTCTCCCAGATCGGGGCTACCGGGGGATATGTAATTTGTGGGTATACCTTGTGGGGAAAGGGGTGTTCTAAGTTTTGGGGAAATTGTGTGCTCTCTGACTGGAGATAATTGGTTTATTCCTTAACTTATCTCAATATCTCCTAGGCAGAGAGGAACACTGTAAATTTGTGTGATGATTGGCTGTTGCTTTTGTTTGCTGTGGGAGGTCCTCTTGCAGGGGATTTATCATAAAAGCCTGTGTGTTTCAATAAAGCTCATTCCTGTTGCACCCTTCATGAAGTCTAGGCTCATGTTTGGGGAGGGGATATTCTACTTGCTGGGAAGAACACCTTGGAATTGCAGTTCATCTCTCTCATTCCTCTACTCCCTGCTGCAGCTATAATCACTCATACTCAGCTGTGGGGATAGAGAAGTAAGACTGCAGCACCATAACCACTGTAGGTCTTAACAGACAGCTTATTTACTAATACTAAGTAATCTTTACTTAGTATTAGTAAATGTGGCTGAAAGACCAATTTTGGTCTTTCAGCCTTTTAGTAGATAACTCCCTAATTCCTACGGTATCCGGGAGCTATCTACTAAGCGGCTACAAGATGCAGCCGCGGCAATGAATAGGATCGGAATTTCATTCATTCAAATGAAATTCCGATACGAACAAAGTCCCGAATTGCGTTCTAACACGAATGGAAAAAACTGTTAGAACGCAATTCGGCACTTTTGCCAGCGTCCTGTCTAAGTGACAGGACGTTCGGCAATACTGACAGGAGGCATCGTGGGAACAGGGAGGAAAGCTAAGGATCATGGGAAAATTGCTGTGACCACCGGAAACGAAGCACACTTTGCTCCTCCGCTGGTCTCCGCTGGTCACTGCGTAGGAATCCTCCATAAGAGAAATAGTCCCTACTTTTTCTTAAGTTTTAAAGAAAACTAGAGCAGACAGGAAGAAATGAAGAACAGATCCTGAGGGAGGAAGGGAGAGAAGAGGAATCGATTGGGGAAAGGTAAGTTCGGCATCACAGTGCCGCATTAATGAAAGTTCCCTAACTATCCACCACTGGTACTGGAGGCAGGGAGTTGCTCCTGACGAACCCCAGGTAATAAAACTAAACCATTTTAAAACGGTTTGACTACCTATAATAGGGTATTACCAGGGCACTCTTAGCGCTATAAGCACTGCAGCAAACTATAGTGTCTCCTTTAAGAACAATGTACATATATTACCATGTCATTTTTTACAGATAAAGTTCAAAAAAAAAAAAAAAAAGGACGTTCCTTTGCCTGCTCATTGATGCAAATAGGCTTTGTCATACTATATTTGGGCCATTGTCAAAATTAGAAGCAGTTACGCCTAACTTCAGAGAAAACATACAGCCATGCATGTCATGAGACAAACAATACCTTCACAAGCTCTTTCTCTAGCATTATACTGCTCCAAGAATAAGAAACATTTCATATTATCTATGGCCTTAAAAAACTAATTACAAATGTAGATGGGCCTATTTATCTCGCAGAAACCAACCAAATTAATTAATTCCAGTTGAATAAAATTAGATTCTGAGAAAATTATAAAAGTTGTTCTATCAACCACCAGTGCTGGACTGAGGCAAAAATGTGTCCAGGTTAGTTAAAGGCATAGCAGCCCAATAGGAGGGGGGGGCAGGACTAGTCAAGGCCTGTCTCCCACCAACTATACACACACACACACAGAACTAGGTGGATAAATATAATGTGTGCCGTTTCCCCATTTTAGGCCACTACTGAGCAGTTTAAATATATATTCTTTATGTATGTATTAACTTCTACAAGTTCTACAATGAAGGCAAAAAAAAAAAAAAAAGTTAATTTACAGTAGTAAATGTTACAGGAACCAGTATCCCTCTTTATCTTACCAAGAAAGTAATGGTATAGTAAACAACTTTAGCCTAAATCCACAGGATTCATAGAGTAATGCTAGTAAATGAGATCCAAGGGAGCAGTTGACAATGTAAAATGAGAATTAGGTAACAGTTGGGCAAAGGCAAAAGGGGAGCATGAAGTATGTTTCTCGCAAACTGACCGTATTCCAGTGGCATCAGAAATATTCAAAAAGTATTGCACAATGTGTTTAATTTAGAATGTCTTATCTCCCGTTCTGGTAAATGTCTGCTAGAACCTACAGTAGCCTCCTGTATGAAAGGTCAATTAACAGAAGGAGATGCAAACTTCTAAAGTAAACACATTGTGGCAAAAAATTGCAACTTTTTTTTTTTAATGACGGTTTTGTGAGACACAACCAAGGGAGGTGTGACTAATGCTGCACAAAGTGATTTAAATGAACACTATAGGAACAAGAACCACTAACTTAAGCTGTAGTAAAAAAATAAATGGTTATTTAATTGTAAAAAGATTGAAAGTGTCTTTGGGAAAAAATGAAGGGCTTGCTAAGTCTGCAGTTCATAAGATTTGCAGCCTTTGCAAGCTTTTTTTGCAATTTGTAATATTTTTTTTTTATTGTTTTTCAAAAGTTTACATGTAGTACGGTATCCTTACAGAATATATATGCCATGGCAGAAAGTAATACTACACATTGCCGTTAGATGTAACATCAGTATTACATGTTACAGAATAGAACATCATGCTACGAGGGGCATATCTTGGCCACCATCTTGAATGGCCACGTTTTAGAGAGGCTCCTGGACAAGGGGGAAAATTTTGTTCCAAATGTACCAATTTTAATCTTAATGGACCAACTCTAATCGAAGCTATAAATAGCCAGTCCAATTTCTAACATGCAGAAGCAAAAAAAATCCTGAAAAAAATGTACCTGGAATGAAGAAAATGGAAGCAGGAGCTGCTGGGGTGAGTAAAAGTCCTCAGGCTCACTCCCCTGCTTCTAAATCCGGCTCGTGGCTGGTTTCACCGCTAAAAATTTCATTGGTGGCGTTGGGGAAATCCCTCCCTACCTCTCGCCCGGTCTCCCAAGCCAAAACTTATGCCTGTGCGGCCGCGACCCAATCGCAGCATCCTGAGAGCGGCGGGACCGCGGCCGCACTAGCCAACATTTCAGTGTGCGGCTCAGAGCGCTCAGAGCACTCAGCATGCTCTGAGCAAAGCGCTGTGTCTCCCGCGAGCGGCAATGACCACCCAGCAAGCCGCTCGCGGTCTAACACTAGAGCAGCCTGGTCGCTCACTTATAAAAGCGACCAGGTTGCAAGTAAAGGGGAGGGCAGTGCGAGGTCACGCTCCCCGTCGGGATCCTCAGCCTCCAGGTTGTTGGTCTCGGCAGGGGGGGCCTCTGCTGTCCGGCCCAAAACTCTTAAAGGCACAGTAAGGGCTAAAGTAAGCCCAGATGATAATAATATGGAAATTAGCAGGTGAAGTGCTCCAAACAAGTGCCTATTCTGCACTACCACAGAGAATAAGTCATGATGCCACAACAAAGATGGCTGCCAGCCCAGATATTGTATATTCCACTCCCAAGATGGCCACTGCCCCCTCCAATATGGTTGCTACCAGACTTAAAACAGCGATTTACAATCCCAATATGCCACCTCAATTGGCAGAAGACCTGCCACCGTCAGCTGGCATGATAATTCAACTTATTAAAGATTTGAGAGTTGATTTGAAAAACGACTTTAAAAAAGACTTTGACGCATTATATGGAGCCATGGAGGGCATTAATCAGCGAACGGAAATAATAGAGAATAGATTGCATTCTCAAGAGCAATCTCACCTGGATCTGGTTGAAACTGTAAAAGAGCTCCAGAAGCAAGTGCACCAACAAGCGGAAAAGTTAGCGGACGCTGAGGATAGAAGTAGGCGTAATAACCTAAGGATCAGGGGGATCCCTTATAATATCAATTCTCTGGAATTACCAAGTTATTTCCAGACAATGGTGAAGTCAGCTCTACCAACTGCTAATAATACGGATTTACTACTGGACCGCATCCATAGATTTCCCAAACCCGGCAATGCACCTGCGGCTGCACCCAAAGATGTGATACACTACTACCACATTAAAGAGGAATTTATAGGTGCAGTACGCACGTCAGTCCTCACGGGGGATTACAGCAGCATGAAGGTCTTCCAAGACTTCTCTCCTCAAACAATGAGGCGGCGAATTTCAACTTTTCACTACAGAGCTAAGACGAAGAGGGATAAGATATAGATGGGGATTCCCGGTTAAAGTCCTTTCCCGCATATATGGTCAGAATCTCATAATCACGTGCCTGAGGAAGGAATGGAACTCATCAAATCCATGAATAGACGTCAGGTTTCGCCTCATAGACTCTCACCATATACTCCTATGCAGGCCAGCAAGAGAAGCAAATCGGACACTTCCTGAGATTCCAGCTCATAGATCTACAGTCTTCGTTTTCCACAGTCGTAAATTGTTCGACACTTCAAGTTGAGCTGTTTTTCTTATCTTTACAAAGGAATTTTATTTATTTTTAGACTTTTATTTTTATGATTTTTTTTTTCTCTTTATTGATTTTTATGGTATGGTTCTGAGAAAACTTTATCTCTGAAACAGACTATCGAGTCCTGCTCCAGTCCGGAGATTTACCAGGATTACTTTGAATCTTGACTTTCTTTTTTATGACAGACTTTTGAGCTTGCACACCAACGGTTATTTGAAATGTGCCTCTACGGTCTATTTCAGAAATCGATTCGATTACTTAAAACGTTCTAAATTTATACAATCAAAATTGTTTTTATATAATTTCAGATTTATTTAATTTTATTATTATTTTTTATTGTTTTGTGCTTTTTGTCCTTTCAAATGTCATACTTAAAAAGTTGCTTTTTGTTTTGTTTTTTACTATTTATATTGGCTCCCCTTGTACCCAGTAGCCTTCTCTCCCCCCAACCTGGGCCTAACACCCTTAGATGGAGACATTTTTTTGTTCTCCCTCATGGCCCTCTTTCACTGTTTGTTTTATACCCAAGTTTTTTGTCCCCCTTTTTTATTTTTCTATATTTTTTGTCCATTCATTCTTTAAAGTTTGGTAAAAACGTTTCCAGACCACAAACCACTGAAATGCTTCATACAAAAATGCATACTACGTGGCATCAGCAACTTGCAAAAATGTGTTTATTTACTATTCCTGTACACACATGTACACAGCTTGAGTTTTTGACAGTATTGTTGGACTTGCATGTTTCTCTCTTGGAAGGCGGTTGCTTGGACTCTCATAAAGTTGTTTGTCCTTTTATCCTTTATCGGGTATTGCTGTTCCATAAACCATGGTTTTAAAATATATATCATTTAATGTGAGAGTCCTGAACACCGCCCAAAATCCAACAAATCAGAAGCAAAATCCAACAAATCAGATGTCATCTGTGTACAGGAAACGCATTTTAAAGATGATAAAGACCATAAGATTATGTCAAAGCTTTTCCCAGTCCAATACCTTTGCACTTATAAATCCAATTCTAGAGGTACAGTGATTTTCTTTCACAGGAATGTAGCATGTTTGACAAACAAAGTAATAACGGATGGTGACGGGAGGTATTTAATATGGATAGGATCACTCAATACCATTGAATGTACTATTGTGAACATGTATTTTACCAACACTGGTCAGTTGCAGTTTTTTAGGAAATTGATGGACTTAGTGAATGAGAATGTGAGAGGCAGTTTGGTAATGTGTGACGACACAAATTTTGTTATGGATGGAGAATTGGATAAAGCTGGGGAAGAATGCGATCAACAGCATAGAGGGGACAGTGATAGATTAGCGTACAAATGCTCCAGATATACGATTGAATGTGGCTTATATGACTCCTAGAGACTGATGAATGAAAGAGATTTTACGTATTATTCTGTCTCTAAAAATATGTATTCCAGGCTGGACCGGTTTATGGTCCAGGGTGCTTTAATCCCGCACATATTGAAATCTGATATCTTAGACATCAACTGGTCCGACCATGCTCCAATCATAATGCATATTGACAAAATCGTTTCATCAGCCCCAAACAGGACCTGGAAATTAGGCGATTATTTGTTAAATGATGTTGTGAACAGGTCATTGACAGAGAAAGCTTTGAGTGATTATCTTTTGGAAAATGCTTCACCCGAGGTTCCTGGCGAGGTGACTTGGAATGCACATAAGGCTGTGTTAAGAGGTCATTTTATTTCTAGAGCGTCTCATCTGAAGATAATTAATAGCAATAACTTAAGAACATTGGAAAAAGAATTGTACAATTTGAACCAGGCTAATAAATTTGGTCCATCGTCCTCCCTATCAGCAATGATAAGTGAAATTAAGGCTAAAATTAACAAAATTAATTTAGATCGTACATCTCTCATGGTGAGACGTCTCAGGAAAACATTTTACTTAAAAGGCAACATGGCCTCAAATCTTTTGGCATCCAAACTCCTGCATGTGAAAGCCCAATCAAAAATAGCATATTTACTTGATGATCAGGGGCAAAAAGTGTTTCATCCAACTAAAATTAGCTATATGTTTGCAGAGTATTATAGTAAACTTTATCATTTAGAATGTAATTCGGACCTTCCCCAGCCTTCTGCAACAACAATTGATAAATTCTTAGACAGAGTGACATTGCCTCAGCTGTCTCCAGGACATTTAGAAAGCTTAGAATGTGAAATATCAGCAGAAGAGATAGCTGAGGCGATCACATTTTTGCCATCTGGAAAAGCCCCTAGTCCCGATGGATTTACTATTTTATATTATAAAACTTTTTCAGAAATTTTAGTTCCCCATATGACTAAAATGTTTAATTCCTATAAGTCTGGGGGAAAGATGCCAGAGGAGTCCTTGTGCGCACGAATAGTCACCTTGCCAAAACCGGGAAAAACTCCTGATAGATGCCCTAATTTTAGGCCCATTTCTCTGATTAATAATGACTCAAAGATTTATTCTAAAGTTCTCACAAAAAGATTAGCCAAATTAATCCCATTGCTAATTAATAAGGATCAATTGGGTTTTGTACAGGATAGACAGGCGCCAGACAGAACTAGATGATTCATAAACTTGATTCGGCACATCAATATGACCAAAACGCCTTCTTTGCTTCTATCTCTAGCCGCAGAGAAGGCGTTTGACAGGATACATTGGGGATATTTATGGAGAACGTTAGATAGGTTCAACATACCATCATCCTTTATCACAGCAATTAAGGCGCTATATTGCGCACCCTCCGCCCATGTTTCAGCTTCCAGCTTCACATCCAAAACTTTCTCTTTAACCAATGGGACGAGACAGGGTTGCCCTTTATCTCCAATTTTATTTGTTTTAGTGATAGAACCCCTGGCCGAACTAATTAGAACGACCCCACAAATTGTAGGAATTGATATTAAAGAATCCGCTCATAAAATTGGCCTGTTTGCAGACGATATAATCCTAGCTGTCAAAAAACCCTTAAGAAATCATATTTATTTGATTGGAGAACTGACTTTATGGAATATCTTGGCATTAATTTATGCAAAAATTTGGTCAATATGCACAATCATAACTTGAGGAAAGCATGGTCGGACTTATAAAAGGAGATGGAGAGATGGAGCGGGATGGAGTTCTCATGGCTCGGGAGGGTCGCATCTATTAGAATGACAATACTTCCAAAAATTTTATATTTTTTTAGGACCATCCCTCTGTCCATCCCATTATCATTTTTTAATAGAGTGCATTCGGCAATGCTGAAGTTCACCTGGGGGAACAAACCTGCCCGAGTAAGGCTCACTTCCCTGCAGCACCATAAATTAAACGGCGGTATCAGTGTCCTCGATATCCGCAAATATTATTTCGCCACTAATGCTGCAGTGGCTGTGAGCTTTAATAACCAGGTTAATAAACCCATGTGGATGGAAATAGAAGAATCGAAAATTTTACCGGTTAGATTGTCAGAATTGCCTTGGTTAAATCCTAAGAAAAGACCTGGAAATACAAAATTATTTTTATCTACCAAGACTACGCTCAAGGCCTGGGACATTATTTTTTAAAATGACCATTCTCCCAGTTTATATAGAGCAATGCCTATTGAGTTATTGAAAGATTATATATCATCCTTAACCCCTTAAGGACCAAACCTCTGGAATAAAAGGGAATCATGACATGTCACACATATCATGTGTCCTTAAGGGGTTAAAAATAGAACTGTTGAAGGATTGCTCTATAACTAATCTGGCTAATTTTTTTATTATTAATGCTATTCTTTCTTTGGAAAAATTGAAGCTTAAGTATGGATTAACAAATGTATGTGAACTGGAATGTATGCTAATCATTGACAAATTGAAAGAATTATACCAGGTACCTGAAACAGATAAAAATTATAAATATCTCCATTAGAGAATGAAGCCCATGGAGCAACACAGGAGGGGAGTGGGCCTTGACAGGGCCAGAGAGTTGGAAGGTGAAGTTAAGGTCAAGGGGTGTGGAAAAGTAATGTCTGGACAGGGGGGGGAGGAGAATAAGGGTTTAAATAACAGCCAATTTGGTGAGCTGGCCTTTTTAATCAAAATCACACTTACTTGATACTTGTCCCTCCTACCCTCCCTTTGTGTTCGGTTGTCTTGTTTGGTAGGTAGTTTCCCGTTTGGTCACAGCCTGGTTAAAGAGGATTTAGGTGGAATAGGAAGTGGGCAGGCCAAGGTCTAGGCTGGACTATGCCGGAGTGGAAAATGGTTTGTAGGTTCTAGCTCGTTGGTGGCTACGAATCTGGGGGTGTAGGGGTGTCTGGGTACACCCCTACAGTTAAACATATGGTTATGGGGCCTCTTTGGTAGGCCATGGGTTAAACGTTATGTATTATTGGAATGTTTTATTATGTTATTTGGTAGGGTCATTGTTGGGGATATTGGGCAAGAATTGTTGAATTAAAATTTTTAATAAAGCTGTGGACTTTATACTCCAACAGAAATGGTGTCACAGAGTTATTTTATTAAGGTTTTAGCACATGCCGAATAACGACTGTGCACATGTCAAGTTTTTTTATACAGCCCCACTAGTAAAGGTATGATATCCTTATGTTATTCGTTTTATAATGCCAAGCCCTTAGTTAAATTAAAACATATGTTGTTATGGGAGACGGAGTTGGGTGCCCAGTACGACCTAGAAGAATGGTTCTTTTTTTTTTAAAGCTTTAAAAAGGTATTTCATATTGCACCGACCATTTTGAAAATCATTATAAAATTTTATATCGCTG